AAACGCCAGCTGCAGTAGCGAGTTTGAATAATGCTAAAGGCCATGTACGAATATTTATGAACCTGAAGACATCTTAGTTTGAGTCTGAGTAAGGTATCTAACACAGTAGATAAATCATATATGTATATACTGTGTATCTAATATCTAATTAATTACCTACTTGCTTAGTAGTAGTTCCTTGGATTTGAAATCAGAAGCTTTCCTGAAAATAATTACAAGTTAGTAGATGAGAACTGTAAAGAACTGTAAAACACTAAATGGTTATCAGTCAGTGTCACAGATCACTTCCTAGTGATAGGACTCGAAATAAATATTTCTGATAATCTTAAAAATTTTAGTAGGTACGTACCTAGGTAAGTATCTACTTATGTCAAATACAATTGACATAAGACTTAACAGTAGATTATTGAAATTGTACAGAACGTTCGTAATAGATGTAAATATGAATAAGTGTATTTTGTATTCGTTTCGTAGCTTGTAATAGACCCTGCAATGTATAAAGAAATAGCGTTAGAAATAGACACAGAGATGTATGTTATTNTATAATAAAAATATTTTAATAAAATGAAACTTACTACCTTATTTCTCACGAACGAATAAAGGTATCAAATTGAAATTTATACCAAATACCTAGATCTATTGTCATTGTCCCTTTATGAAGTAAAAAAATCAAACTTCTAAGTTAACGCGATCAAAAGATACAGCAGTTTATACCGACACCTTAGACGAATTTCCGTCACACGCTAGGGAATCAAAACCTACAAGGTACTTCCTGTGAACTCAGAATCTTGAAATTCGGCACGAAGCAACGTTATATAGTACACATAAAGGAAAAATTGCGAAAATGATAAATTTGAAGTTATACAGGGTGTTAGGTAAATGGGTATATGAGCCGACACTAGCCCATGTTGACATGGGCATATAAATGGTATGGTGAAGTCAGAAATTTGATATCATCATTTTATTTTTTTAAATTTTCATACAAAATAAATTTTATAAAATCTGATTTGTATGAAAATTAAAATGATTAAAATGAAGATATAAATTTTCTGACTTCACCATACCATTTATATGACCATGTTAACATGGGCTAGAGTCGGCTCATATACCCATTTACCTAACACCCTGTATAAAATTTAAAATATTATAACCTTACTACCTACCCTTTTTCACATGAACGCGTATAGATATTAAAGTTGAAATTCATATCAAACACTTCTTAAATCTAATTGCCTCTAAACTGTGAGAAATTCTAAATCAACGCAAAAATTCAAAACGCTGAGGTAGGTACCTACCTATAATGCAAATATAGGAAAAAAAAATTAAAAAAAAATAATCATACCGCATATTTTGAAATTCGCCACTACTCGCAACGGAATCAAGTAAGTAATTTGATTTAATACGTCATAAATTGTAAACCGCTACGTTTGTACGGCGGAACCCTCGGTGTGCGAGCCCGACTCGCACTTGGCCGGTTTTGAGTTGTATCTTTACTTAGGTGAGCGATATATGTCGTTGTCCCCATTTTGTGTCAGGGCTGTGATAATCCCATTGGTATATACTATACTCCAATATTCCCATTCAATGGGAACACCCCGGGAACGCTACTTGAACTTCCGGTCCATTCTGTTGGTACTTCCGGTAGCTTCCCGGAACGGCAGCACTTCCGTCGGCGTAACTTTAATGTTATGTGTGTGTGAACTAAAAATGCATCTCAAAATTTACTTTTATTGTTCACAAGCTGACCCGGCGAACTTTGTTCCGCTGTTCCGCCTTAATGGCAATAAATAAGCAGACTTTTTTTATTTCGAACGGGATAAAAAGTATCCTATGTCTTCTCCTGGCTCTAAACTACCTCCCTGACAATTTTCAGCTAAATCGGTTCAGCCGTTCTTGAGTTATAAGCGAAGTAACTAACACGACTTTCTTTTATATATATACGACATTTTTAGTCAAGAAAAATGGAGAAANGGAACGTCTTGACATTAAGCCTCTCTGATGGTCGACAAAGTTTGTGTCCTCATTTACATTAAGTACCTACACATTTTGTTTGTATACGAAATGGGTACATTAAATTAATGGGACTGCTTACTGCGTCGGTTCTCCTACTTTTCATATGATAACTGCAGGATTTGTAGAAAAAGCGCATGATAAATACTTTGCAGAGTTTCTGTTTGTTCCCTTGAAACCTTTGTATTTGTTTTTTCATTATGTGGGATATTATGATAAGCTCTTTACCATCATTCAATTGCTGTCAAATAATCCTGTCTAGAACTCTAGTTCAAAACCCAGGATTAAAATCGTAGTTGACCACACAATAACATCTTCAAGGATAAAGATTAAACTGAAAAAGCTAAAGCTGCTTTCTCGGTTAAATCCAGCCATAAAGTCCTATCAGATTTCCCGACGATAACACTTATCAGTCCTACTCATGCGTATGCAATTGTTTCATAACGATAACGAACTGTGTCAACACACCTGAATGACGTTATGTACATTTAATTGATAAAAATCACGATTTTACTACCCAAATCGATTATCGAGTTGAGGATTTGCAAATTCTTGAGCGATGAGTTCGTTATGGATTTATTGATAACGTATTTTTAACATGAGAACTTCTTTTAAGTGAATCATATTTTGTACCGTTAATAATTCTCATATATTTTAGCAAAATGACACCTATTAAAACTATAAGATGGCACGTTTAATGTGCCATCGTACATACTTATCATCCTTAATATCAAGAGACGCGTATAAACGATATAGCGATCCCCTTAAATATTTTTCAAATTATATGAAGCTTTGGTTATTGTTTAGCCAGACAACAATGTCAATGATGCACATTTCATTTAATGCGACACCAATACAATAATACAATTGTCATTCTATACGGCAATCTGCCCCATTCTTTCAAGTTAGCACACTGAATACTCAAGCGATCTAGATCTTCGAGGTATTCCCAAGGGTACGACCTTGGGACCGTAATTACAATAGCAGTAATAATTACAAAGTGACTTTAAATTTCTTTGTCTACACATTTATTTGACATCGAATGAACTAATATGTGTGTCGAACTAGTGGATACATTTTCGGTTTAATACATACAAGGTACACAAGTAAAATATAAGTAACAGATTTCACACTTTATAATAGTGATTTTACTAAGTAGGTAGGTACTGGTCTTATCTAATCCAATAAAATTATTTTAAATTGGATTAAAACACGAATTCGTCGAAGACAATAAAGAAACTCAAAGTTTATTGATTATTGTTACTAATGTCGAGGGAAATCTAAGCAATCGATTATAATTATCTGCTTTTTATAAAATTCAAGTCTTTATCACTTTGATTTGATGGATCGTGCGAGTTTAATTGATATGACTTTAGTATCCTTAGCAACAGTATTTCAGTGTTTAAACACATTTTATTTTGTACAAAATAATTTACGGTTACAATGCCGTACTTAAACTTTTCGAAATGAACTTTTGTTGTTCGAATATTTTGACATAATGTATTTTAATGTGCTGGTCACGATGTTCATACTTTATTGTCTCTAGTCCTTGCTGTAATCCGCCTGTGGTAAAATTTAACATTGTAGCGTTTAACATTACGGGAAATACTATTTGCTAGTGAAGATAATGAGAATAACTGTAATTTGTTTTCGTAACATTGTAGTTACTTCATATTTTTAGAAATATGTCGAACAGTTTAATAATGAAATGGTTAAAAGTTGGATATTGATTAAACTCCATTTGATAAACGTTGTTTTCAAACCAAAGAACGTAGATTGCTGTACAAAGACCTGCCCAAGGATTTCCACTAGGACCTGTCCTCTTATTAATTCTATAAATATTTCGATATCGTAAATGGTTTCTGTGTAAAAGCGTTTTATAAAAATCTATTTGCAGAAAATTATTGGCTTTTATGACTGTCAACAAGGTCTAAACGCGCGCGCAGGGTGATTTTTGTCACCATGACAGTATGTCGCTTTTTTTCTCTTAATGAAAGTGTAAAAGAGAAAGATATACCGCCTTATACGTAGCCTTGTAATTGCACTTTACCCCTGAAGAATAAATAATTATTACAACTGCATCGTTATCAACACAAATGAGTAATCACAAAACTTTCTACTTACCATTTATCTTTGCACTGATATCGTTGTTTACTTCAACCACGTAAATTATACACTCACGTTTTGTAACTGCTTTAGCACATTTTGAACCCTAAAGCGTAGCCACGAGTAAAGTATTAGTCAAATTATCGAAGTAATCGAATCTATTTACAACAGCACATCAATAGTAACACGTTGATCTAAGATCGCCCTTATTTCAACAGAAATAATGGCGACTTTTGCAAAGCAACTATCACGCTTGAAGAATCAACGAATTAGAGGTGGGCGCCGATATAGAATTAGCCGGCGGCGGCGCGCCGACTTTTTGGCTTCGGCGGCGGCGGCGTCGGCGGCGTGACCTTGCCCTTTGACCTTGTCTCATTATTTCTTTAAAAAAATCTGTTTAGAGTCATCTAGACTATAATCAGGTAATCGTATCTTGTTCAGGGCCGCGCATGAGCGCAGGCACGTCGACCCTTTGGGATCTTTTGTGCGCTCCCATACCTTTATTCCCCTCTCATCTGTAAAAGCCTATCCATAAAGCGAGTCAAGTGCTTGGGTGAGAGGGACCTATTTCTGGTGCCGGATATGCCGACCCCAAGAGACCAATTCTAGTTCTCGCTGGCGCATCGCATTCGCACAGTAGTTATTTCTTGGACTCTGCATGTTCTCCACATGCTCGACAACTGTCGTTAAGCCCATCTTGTGGAGGATGTGGTTCGTAGTGAAGTGTCCTGTTAACGCACCCGTGATCACACGAGCTTGCCTTATGTTTCCATTGAATATGAGTTTTTCCCATGATCTTGAGTTTCCCTTTAGGAATAATTTGGAGTGGCTCATACCGTTGGAGCTTACTAATGCAGCTCTATGCCTCCTAGTTATTATGCCTCATGGCCATGTGTGCGGTGCTTATAGATAAGGGCACTATCGGCTCTGGACCAATAGGTGTCGCCTCTGACCCTTGTCTCGCCAGACTGTCGGCCTTCGATTCCCGTATGTCCAGGTATCCACATTAGGGTCACCCTGTTATGCCTTCCAAGTTTCTTTAGTACCAATATTGCCCTCAGAACGAGTCTAGATCCAACCCTCACCGAGGCAATGGCTTTGAGTGCTGCCTGACTGTCACGTAGGATGTAAATGTCGCGCTTTTTATGCACCTGTTATATATTCCTTAGTGCACACATGATTATAGCATAGGTTACAGCTTGAAATACTGTTGCAAACCTCCCTAAGCTTTTACTGTGCTCGGATCGTTTGTAGTAGACGCCCGCTCCTGATCCTGAGTCCATCTTGAAGCCGTCAGTAGGTATACCTGATCAGGTTGTCCTGTTGATCTCAACAGTCTTTTCCAGACTTCTCTTGTTGTATAGACACTTTAAAATATTTGCTAAACATGTACCTAAGCTGCATTGTATCACATCCCATGTCCGTTATTGCATCTTGTACAGAACGTTCGTAATAGATGTAAATATGAATAAGTGTAATNAATTTCAATATTTTAATGTCGGGAAATAAGTGATTGGATTATTATTTTGCCTGTGAAATGTGATTCCTTAATTTTTGTTTGTTCGAACAGAACGGTTTTTACACAATTTCATCACACAAGACATGTCGTATTCGTGTTGTTTTTTCGCTGCATAAATGTGTCAACTGTGTGAAGTTTTCACTCGAAGTGGTGTAACAGGGTGTGAATGTGTGCGTGCCGGCCTGTACGTACAGGCAAGCTGGTGTATCCTAATGTCACAGTATTTTGTTGATGAGAATCCGTCCGACTTTTTTTATAGGTCCATGACTCATACCAATACATTAATAGGAACAAACCTACATTTGGTATAAAAATTTGGATGTGTAACGTAACTCAACAAGACTCGATTCAAGCTTGACCTCAAGCACTATAATTTTCTAAAATTGAGACCAATCATGTTGCTTCCAATAAAAATCGGAATATGAATCATATTAAAGATAATAAATATCCTTAGGTTTATATTATCTTCATACTTGAGTCACTTGATTGTAGGGCCTGAGTGCTGCGACTTAAACAACTGTCTGACCTTAAGCACTTGTATGTTTAATGTCCTTTTGACCGCCAACAAAGATATTGAGTTGACCCTTGGATGACAATAATATTTTCGTGATCAACCTGATTACAACCACGCCTCGATTAATTTTCCATGATGGTATAAAAACATGACCTTTTCTCTTTGACGACGTCTAGTCTACTGATGGTCGATTGCCTCCCAAAAGAATTTTTACGACTGGTCCTGCGGCTCTTTCCGCGACCTTCACCAGATCGTCCGTTCATCGAGTGGGAGGTCTGCCTACATCTTCCAACATACAGATAAATGCATTTAAAGGAGGTGGCTCCTTTCTAGAATCTAGAACTAAGATCTAGATCTAGAATAAGGAGGACTTATTCTCGTTCAGGGAATGTCTTCATAAGTTGTTGGTAGATAAGGCGTATTATTCGATTAGCGAATTCCTCCTGGACAGTTTCATGTGTTTGTAATGTATGTAGTCCAAATCTAATACTTTTGACATACCAAGTACAATGTAGTTGACATTATACATATAGGTAATTTTAGTATTTTTAATTTATTATTTTTGAATTGACATTAATGTAATTATTGACCCTGAGTTGTCTGACATTAGTTTTTATAAATGTGAACTATATTTTGTTAATGAATGTAAATGACAATTACAGTAATAATTTTGCATGCCTAAAGGTGGAAGATGGAGATACCTACTTGAAAAATTGTAACACCTACTGATGTAAACCCATTTTCGCAAAATAAATGATTTGATTTGATTTGAGAATTCAACTGAAAAGTTCGGTCCACAGAGTGGGAGGACTACTGCCTACACTGCGTCATCCAACGAACACATTTTTAAACCACCTCCTTTCTAGAACTAGAAATCGTTACAAAAGTACTGATTTGTTTAACTATTGCACATAAAACGGCCTGGAAGACGTAGCGTGGGCAGGCCTCCTACTAAGTGGACCGACGATCTGGTAAAGGTCGCGGGAAGAGCCTGGATGCGGGCAGCGCAGGACCGTTCATTGTGGAAAACCTTGGGAGAGGCGGTGAGAGGCCTTTGTCCAGCAGTGCATGTAAATGTCATATGGAATTATCTTCCTCTGACCCTACCCAGGCAGGATATAGAGCAGGCGGCGTATAAAAGTGTATGTTGCAGAGTTACAGTGACAAATACGGACGGATGGCCTAATAAAATTATCAATTCGAGCGCGGTCGATGAGCTGTTGACACAGAACTCGAAACATTATGCAACTGCGCCAGCTCCACTTGAGACTCGAATCTCCGTCGCAAATGCATCCCCTTGCTTGGTTGGACGTAAAGTAGGACAGTGCAAATTCATTGATTTGCATTTTTAAGGTTCCGTACTCATAAGGTATCAGCGACACCGTAAACAACTGTACACAGGAAGATTTAAAGTTTTGGGATGACGCTGTGTGTGTAGTGTAGGTTTGTTGTCGATACGATAAGACGAAGAACGAGACCCTATTAATATGCCTCGCCTCTGCTGTTTATCAAAGGTAGACGGTTTGTGCACAGTATATATATGAGGTTTGTGCTAGGAGTTGGAGTACATTGGATCAAGGAAAGAATATTTGACGCGAGAAAAAGAAAACTTGTAAATGAAATATAAATAAAGGAGGAAAGTTTGCAATAGTTATTTTCCCTAGTCTTCTTTTGGAAAGTAAATATTGTATCTTTCTGCGACTAAAATTTACGCAGGATAAGCGAGCAAAAGCCAGTTCAATATATTTCTTAAGATTTTCCAATAGGCCTTGCATTTCCTTCATAACTAGTAGAATCTGTTTCCAAACCTTAACCTAAAAACAGACGTCAAGTTCCGTCTGCTTAAACTGGTACAATTTGTTAATGAGCGCGTTAATCGTGCAGTGTAACTATATCGAGCACACGTTAATTGCCTATATCGGCTTGTGCTAGTGCGTAATGAGTTATCTTAATTAATTAATATCTGATCGTTGTTCGCGGGCCATCTGCCGCTTGTCGGGTGCAAAGTATGGACTATGGAGATATACTTTGAGGACTTGTTCCCACGACCCGCTTTTTGAAAGGTTCCATTTAGTAGTTCGTTCGTTCGTTTCAGCTAAATGACGTCCACTGCTGGGCCAAGGCCTCCTTTACTAGTATAGGTGTTTTAAACGTTCACAAGAACATCCCGTTTGCAGTGTCCCTCAAAAACCGATCCGTTGGAATTTGGAAGTCGAATTACAAACACACACGTGCGGTTAACAGTGGACATCCTGTGGCTGAAAATGATAATGATGATGACTTGTGAGTTCAGACATGACAGAAGCAAAGATCCTGCATTATTGGATCCCGCAAAAATGGATGTTTGTGGTAAAGGGCTCTTAATGGGAGATGAATAAATAAATTTTAATATAGTGACGGTATACACATAGATCGTAATTTTCGAAATTGAGACCATAATTAATTCTGCGAAGAGACCATAAAGTCGTAATATTAATTTATTTCTGCGAATAAGCTTGTGATATTATTTAATTTATTCATCGTTATGTGCAAGTTATAACGTCTCACGTGTTGTATTGTAATCCTCATTAATCTGCCGAGTGTTAAACGCAGGTAATTAAACCATTCAGTCCGTCCTGACCATGACCATGACCGTTGTTTCTTTGAAACATTTTCTTCGTTATTTCCTGGACACGTTCCTCGCAGATTATTATTGCGAAACTAGCTGTGACTGTACCTGCGGCTTCGTGGTAATCGTTTTCTTGTTACAGTACCTTGATCAAATTACTTCAAAACCTTATCACTCATTTATATGACACTAGTTGTGCCCGCGACTTCGTACGCGAGAAAATAGTTTGAATAATATTTCCCGCTTTTGCAACATTTCTTGGCTGTTGGGTTATTATAACCTTGTTGGTGTTCAAATAAATAAATAAATAAATAAAGTCTACCTCGATAAATGGGCTCTCCAACACAAAAAGAATTTTTCAAATCGGCCCAGTAGTTCCTGAGATTAGCGCGTTTATGTGTGGTTGGGCCCAGTAGTGAGCTCGAGCTACGTCTAAGAATCTTTTAAATGGAAATGTAGCCCTGATTTAATGCTAGTTAAAAATCTAAATCTTAACATACAAGGAACTAGACTAGAAATCTCTAAAGATACCATAGAATACGAACTTGACAATCAATACTCAATTTGTTATGGCACGGACTGGGCGGTCGTATCCTTAGGTGGTATTAGGGCAAACTATATTTAGGCGTATATTGTTAAGAGCCTACAAAGGGCCAGAAAAGGGCCCACATCGTAATAAAGAATCGAATTTGGTCCTACAGCCGATTGTGAGAGGATTCTGTTTTTATCTACATTGCGTACATTTGTAGCTCTCGTCTCGGCGTGACCTTTACTGCACTCACGATGAAGGTCTCGGTGTTTCTTTGTCCATATAATATTATCTGTCCATTGTTCGTGTGTTGCCTGGTCTTCTTTTATACACAGTTTCAGTGGACTGACTCTGGACTGAATAATCAATTTGTCATCACAAATGGAATTTAACAGCAACTCATTGCTGCCGAGTCCAAACGTTGGTTAGCAATAAGATATAGTTTGAGTCATTCTTTGACTGACATTGGACATAAACATGATCCAAAGTGCAGTAGTCGACTCAAAAGTTCCAAACCAGTTGGTTTTTGCGTCATGAATAAGGGAATGAAAAAGTTCGCGAGGATTAGAAAAACTGGTACGAAAAGCTTTGGAGCAAATGTGTTATGATGATTGGCTAATCATTTATCCTGGACTTATCACACACACAATTTATGATTAGATAAAATTCACTTATGTGCCAAACGCCTATTCCAATGATCTGGCTATCTGGGGCGGGGTATAGACAATTTCCAATACAGGGGCGGTAGCAGTTGACGACGTAATGATAATTTGATTGGCAACCTTTATGCTTGACGCTTCTGATTCGATAGTTTGGTGGTTAATTAATATTCTCAAGACGCTGTAAATTCACGAAGTAATTTGGAAGAGTCCACAAGTATTAATAAATGACCGCAAAGTTAATTTGAAAGAAAGAAAACATTTCGCAATTTGCAAACCTTTTGTTTGTCTAGTGTCTAGCTAGTTAGAGTAAGTGAACTAAGGTCAAACTGCTCTGTATCAATGCTCGTCGTAAACCCAGAGCCATCATCATCAAACCAGCTTCCGGCATGCCCATTGTTGACGCTACATTGTGCAAACGCGTCGTTTCTGAGATTGTGTTGGATCTTGCCACTCGCAGGAGTTTGCGCAAGCCGTTGCAATGTTTACCGCGTTTCCAAGATATCGAGTCAACAATGTAACTGACTAGATACAGCTTCGGCCGTGAAGACGCCCACAGATTATAACACGTTGGACAAAACAATATAAATTCTACGTATTGATCCAATAGTCTTATGTCAGTATCCAAGGATATGCCAAAAATCCAAGTTTCACAATATTTTACAAAAATTGCCAACATTTTCTCAAATAGACAAAAGATAATAGTTAGGCCTTGCCTGCAACTGAGACGGTTTCCATATTTCTCAATATCCTTTAGGAAAGTTGTATGACTTAGTTAGCTTAGTTTCTACACCAGTTTCTCTTGATAAAATGTACCAGAGTTAGATACAACAGGGCTGGTTTAAATGGTTTGTTATTCTTAAACGTTTGAGTAAGTAGATATTCTATTTTTCATCATCAAATTTACCTCATAAAAAGCCTACAGCTTAAAGGGGTTTGGTAAATCCCACCCGCCTGCTCTGTTTCTCACGTGAGTAATCACAAACCTTAGCCCTCAAGGACACCACCCATGAATTCGCCACTGCTGATGACGTCACCCATTCAAATTGTACAGAACGTTCGTAATAGATGTAAATATGAATAAGTGTATTTTGTATTNTTAATAAAGCTGCGTATTTCAATAATACTTATGTATGATTATCTTAATAAAGATTGTTCAACGGCCAAGTCACACAACATTAAATATAATAATAAAGAAATCGCAGTAAGAAACCATAGACTTGGCACGACTTTGTCTAGATTTCATTACTTTTTAGAGATAAACAGGCAGCTCCATCGAGACTTGGCTAATTTTTTACAGAATGTTTTTGGTGGGATTATTTCTTACAAGTTTACAGAAATAACAAGTTATATTCGTATCCTTACTAATACTAAAAAACTAATCTCAAACAACGAAGAAATTTTACCACAATGCAAGAACCTCTAGGATAGATTAAACATATTATTTGAATATTTTTTCATTACGTGAGAGTTATATTGATATAACCTCAATTATATTCCGCACAAAGTGTCCGTCATGCAACAACTAATCGTTGAAAAGTTATCATAGAATCGATTAAAAGAAAAGCAGCAGGCTAATCTAGAAAATTACCTTGAATTATATTCTTAAATTTTGAAGCAAGACCTTCTGCTTCGCATTTTGATAATACTTTACTTAACGATAATACCTATTATCTATACTTATAATAAATCTGTAGAGAGGTCAATTCTGTACATGAATAGATTTTCAAAATAACTATCAGGGGGTGATTAGTGATCAATACTGATGCCAAAAATGCAATCAGTAAAATTTTTGTCTGTCTGTCTGTCTGTCTGTCTGTATGTTCCTTATAGAAACAAAAACTACTCGACGGATTTTAACGAAACTTGGTACAATTATTCTTCTTACTCCTGGGCAGGTTATAGGATACTTAAGAATTCCCACGGGAACGGGTATTAGCGGGAAAATCCTTTTGTATGAAAAATGTAAACCGCTTAAGTTAGACGCTTGAAATTCGGCATGCAGGTACCTTAGTAAACTAAAAGCTTAGTTACAACAGGATATTGCAAAATTCCCACGGGAACGGGAGTTAGCGGGAAAAAACATTTGTATGAAAAACTCTAAACCGCGTAAGATAGACGCTTGAAATTCGGCATGCAGGTACCTTAGTAAACTAAAAGCTTAGTTACAACAGAATATTGCAAAATTCCCCCGGGAACGGGAGTTAGCGGGAAAAAACATTTGTATGAAAAACTCTAAACCGCGTAAGATAGACGCTTGAAATTTGGCATGCAGGTGTGTTAGAAAACTTAAAGCTTAATTACAACAGGATATTGCAAAATTCCCACCGGAACAGGAGTTAGCGGGAAAAATTTTTTTATGAAAAAATCTAAACCGCGTAAGATAGATGAAGGGGGTAAAACTTGATCCACGCGTACGAAGTCGCGGGCGGCCGCTAGTGTATAAATATTCTTTATAAAGGTCTTATTTATTTAATTAACGTATTTATCATAGTTTTGATTTCACTAAAGCTCTCTAAACATCTACCTGGTAAATATGAAAATCTCGAGGATGCAGCGACGAAGTATAATTTATGGTTAAACAAACTTACCTTAAGTGAAGTTAGACCGTAATTATACGAGTCGCTGCATCCGAAGAGATTTTCATTCCCGCCCTACCCCTAAGTTTACACTTAACTTACCCTTACTTAATGTACAGAACGTTCGTAATAGAATGTAAATATAAATAAGTTTGTTTTGTATTCGTTTCGTAGCTTGTAATAGACCCTGCAATGTATAAAGAAATAGCGTTAGAAATAGACACAGAGATGTATGTTGTTTGTGCAATAAAGATAAGCTAGGCCAGAAAAGTAGGCAATTGTTATCTTTATCTGTCATTTTTTGAATTGTATAGTGTTCTGTTGTATGTCGCTATCAATTTCTTGAGCTTCACATTCATGTAAGATTGTGTTAAGTCATTTTGTTTGTACTGTGTTCTATTGTCTTTTATTTGTGTCTTTATATCGTGTTTATTGTTTGTGTCTATTTTTTGTATTTGTTAATTGTGTATAGTTAATCGTTATTTGTTTACTCTGAACATGTAAATTGTATTGTATTTGGATATGAAAATAAATTAACTTGTTGTTGGTGTTGGCTTCATTTAGAAAGGGACAAATAGGTAGGAAAAATAGGTACTCACCCTCCGACGGAGGACAGAGACAGACATATCGGAAATAGAGCCGTAATCGCTTTACGGTATTGCCTTTTCGAGAGAAAAAGCAAACATTTGTTGTCTCGCTCCCACTAGCGGCCCTCGCTCACACCGTATCGCGTCTCNTATGCAAATAAATTAACTTGTTGTTGGTGTTGGCTTCATTTAGAAAGGGACAAATAGGTAGGAAAAATAGGAAGTTAGAACGGATAGGAAATAGGTACTCACCCTCCGACGGAGGACAAAGACAGACATATCGGAAATAGAGCCGTAATCGCTTTACGGTATTGCTTTTTCGAAAGAAAAAGCAAACATTTGTTGTCTCGCTCCCACTAGCGGCCCTCGCTCACACCGTACTGCGTCTCGCTCGCACTCGCTCCGTCCTTGTCGCACGGAGGCACGCGATACGGCGTTGGATTAATGCGTAGGCGTCACTAGTGGAGAGTGGCATGGTGGGCCCAAATATAGCGGTGGTCCGAGCCAAAATCACANGAGCCAAAAACACAGTCCACTTGAAGATAGCTACGAAGTAACAACTAAGAAACAAGAAGTCCCTAGAAGCCAACAGCAGCCAGTACAAGCCCACTCAAGAAACAAGGGGTTGTTATTTCAGTACACCCCCTCCCCGCTACCCCGCTACGTGAACACCGGCGAGAGAGAGACAACGATATCTCTGCATCGGGCGCTTCTTCTTCGAGCCTTCAACAACTCCCAGGCGCAACTCCAGTAATCCGTGGGGCGTACCCCACAATTAAAGTTGATAAATTATAATCTGCGGATGTACTCGTAGGTATAATCTGCACAACTATTTCGAAATATCTGTGTGGGATGGCCGGACAAAAAATAGCCAAAACATTTCGCAGTAGAGATATAATATGTCCTCCAATGGAATCATCGAACTTCTGTATTGTATCCTACAACTTTGAAGGCCTGCTGTGTGCCCTCCTATGCTCATCTTCTTCATTGTCTTAGGGTCGGTTGCACCATCTTACTTTAACTTTGATAAACGTCAAAAATCTGCCAAACTCCATACAAAAAACACCTGTGTGTGGTGAGCTCACTCGTGATAAAGCATATTTAAGTACGGGGAGCTGCCGTGTGGTGACGGCAGAGTAGAATACATTTGTCACCAACCCCTACTCTTCCCGCGGGTGTCGTAAGAGGCGACTTAGGGACTACACATCAAACAGAGAATGGGCAGCAGCGCTCTCTGAAAAACATCAATCTTTTANATCTCTGCATCGGGCGCTTCTTCTTCGAGCCTTCAACAACTCCCAGGCGCAACTCCAGTAACCCGTGGGGCGTACCCCACATTTTGGTCCTTGACGAAGCCGGATTACGTCGGGTTGTTGAAGAAACTTTGGAAGAATTGAAGACAGAAAATGCCAGTGACAAGATCGCGCAGCGGAGGTTCAAGAGTCGGAGCCACGGAGAGTACATCGGAGTACACCATGTCGACTGCCGTTGCGGACGAACAAGGGACTAGTCAGACGGAGACGACGGCGTCGCAGCGCACCGTGCCAGTGCAGCGCGCCGCTCCGGGGCAGGGCGAGCGCACGCAGGCGCCCCTGCCACACACATCCGCGCAGCCGCCGCTGGCTGAGCAGCAGAGAAGAGCTGCCCAGCGGCCGCTGTCAACATTGGGGCCGGCGCAGCCGCCGCTGAGGACAGACCAGCGGCCGCCGCAGCCGGCAACGGGAGCCGGAGAGCCAACGCTGCAGGAGCAGCGTCGCCAGGCTGAGCTACGGACCCGGCCAGTATCGTCGCCCGAGTCGCCGCCCCCTGCGGAGCAGGGGCCGACGCGGCTCGAGCGCCCCGCGGCGCCAGCAGCGCCGCCGAGATCGACGGCAACGACGAAGAAATCGAAGCGCACCCGCAAGTTACTGGAAGCCAGGGAGGAGCTACTGCGACTGCAAGTGAAGCTTGCGGCCGCCAAGGTGGCCGCCCTGGAAGCAGACAGCGACTCAGAAGAGGACGTGGACACGGTGATGGAGGAAGCGGACCACAACGCACGGGTGAACAACTGGTTGGATACCAGTGTGCCGCCCATGCCCATCGCCACCGAGCCGCCCCTAGCCATCGCCAGCGAGCCGCACAGAGCGCCGGAGCCACCGCCACCGCTGGGGGACATAGAAGATAGAAGGCCTCAAGCCATAGAAGTCCCTCAGGCACCGGCGGGAGCCGGCGCGCCCGCGCCGCTCCACCACCAAGTGGACCTGTCGGAGCTGGCCAGCGCCATAGCGCAAGCCGCCCGCTCCGGACAGCACAACAACAACAGCAAGATGTTCGCAGAGCTGCCATACTTCGGGGGGTCGCATCACGAGTGGCTTTCATTCAAGGCCGCGTACTTCGAGACGCAGAGCGGGTTCACGGACTTGGAGAACCTCACCCGCCTGCGCAGAAGCCTCAAGTCGAGAGCAAGAGAAGCCGTCGAGAGTTTGTTGATATACAACTCGAACCCACGCGACGTGATGAAGATTTTGGAGGCAAGATTCGGGAGGCCGGACGCCATAGCTGTCGCAGAAATGGAGAAAATTAGAAGCTTGCCGCGCCTCGCCGACAGCCCACGTGACTTGTGCATATTTGCGAGCAGGGTCACGAACATAGTCGCCACACTGAAGACCATCGGGAAGCAGCGGTACCTACTCAACCCCGAGATAGCGAAGTTAACAATGGAGAAGCTGCCGCCTGCCATGAAGTACCGGTGGTACGACTTCGCCGCAGGACAGCCCACCGACGAGGCCGACATTNACATTTGTCACCAACCCCTACTCTTCCCGCGGGTGTCGTAAGAGGCGACTTAGGGACTACACATCAAACAGAGAATGGGCAGCAGCGCTCTCTGAAAAACATCAATCTTTTAAACTGCGATCTCCAACCCGCCTGCCTAGCGTGGAGATTATGGCAAAACCCTCCACTATAGTGGAGGAGGCTCATAGTCCAGCAGTGGACTGTAAAGGGCTGTTGATGATGAAGTACGGGGAGCTAACGGGACTATTAGTAATTTGTGTTAAGAAATTACTAATAATCTTTAAAAAAAACGACCAAATCCTTTAAGCTAGCACCCATAACACAAGCATTAAGTTGCTTACTTTGGGGCTAGCTGGCGCTGTGTGAAATTGTCCAAAAGATTTATTATTTACTACTTACGATATACAGCAGCTTAGGGCTCTCCTTCCAAGCACCGAAGCACCCGAATGCAGCGATGACGATGATCAGCACCCCGATAGCGATCAGCAACGCGTCGGTCTCGTGGCCTGTCATGTCCTGCCCCGCGAAGTCCTTGATCATGGTCAGGTCCACGCATGCTGTCGCTATGATCACGATGCCGAAGATCTGGGGATGGGGAAAAAGCACATGAGCATTGAAGGTAATAAACCTGATGGATATTAACCTGTTAAATGGATGATAAAACGGTAGCTTTATAGTGTTTTAACTTAATTGTTATGAAAGATTAATGCGCATTGATCACCAGTTTGAACTGACGTTAGAATGCGCTAGTATTATTACTTCAATGCGTTAGAATGGAAATGTTATTTTAAACATGTTTGTTTTTTGTCCATTAATCATCAACGCTTGCCTAAACTGCCTAATTTTTTCAGCCTAATGACGTCCACTGCTGGATAATTTATACGTACTAGAACATTATTTAATACATAGAAAGAACCTATATTAATGGATCGTCTGTGATCAATATAAAACTGTTATACATAGCTACATATAATATAATAGTTTATGATAGTTAAGCTACAGCTTTTACTCAATTCACCAAATTAAGGTGACTCATTGAGACGACATTGAAAATTTCCATAAGCCTACAAAAACACCTATTTTGTGTAAAAGCAGATCCATTAGTTGAATAGATATAAGATACCCATAACGCGTAAACCGCCTACTGTTACCTTAGCCTTATCTAAAGAGTAAGCCTGGTTTCCACTGATGGAAGACTCACGATATTTCTTTGCCATGAGCTTTGTGTGAAGTCATTTTCGTAAAGGACTTACAATGCTCTATGACAGAGTTTCCCAAACTATGGGTCGCGACCCAGTGGTACTGCCTGTACAACCGCTGGGCAGCGGGCGAAAGGGTCCCGAGTTTGGGAACTTGTATTAAATGAGTCGTAGTCCAGACAACTTTGGAAACCACTGCTCTATGAAGTGATGATATAGAGCCAGTCGCTGATCGCTAGAGTAAAGATATTGTAGCTATACATTAAGTGACAGATAAAACTAAAAATTATTATGAATTTAGTCAATTTGGCTCATTTAAGTCTAGACCTAGGATTTTGATTTCAAGAGAAAGCAGAAGAAATATTTTTGGATTTTCAGATAATAACCGTTTGGGGATAGCATGAGTCTCGCTTAGCACTGATGAACAGGCTTTACAATGAAGAAAAATCAATCCCACAGCCCACGCCTCCCGTCAATTTGGGCGAACGATCCGACAATTAGTTGTAACGTCTCCCAATTGCCTCGCCCACGGTTGCCCACCATGTCAGTGACCTGTGGGTGTCCGTGGGCTTTGTATTTCGAAATTGGGTCACTGGGTGGCACTGGGGGCATGTTACTTTTGACAGGGCACGTGATTTTTTTTTGCATAACACGGCAGGTATTTGACCGCAATCGCGCCTGGTGTAAAACAAGTGAATATTCACTCTCGCCTTGAAAAGGCCCGGATTGTAGTCGGCAAAGACAGCAGCGAGACGAGATCGAATCAGAAATGAGGAGATCCGTAAACGAACTAAAGTAGCTGACATAGCCCGACGGATTAGCAAGCTGAAGTAGCAATGGGCAGGGCACATAGTATGCAGAACTGACGGCCGATGGGTCAGCAAGGTTCTGAAGTGGAGACCGCGTACCGGAAAACGCAGCGTATGACGTCCACCCACAAGGTGGACCGACGACATCATAAAGGTAGCAGGAAAGCGCTGGATGCAGGCCGCTACCAACCGGGTAACATGGAAAGCATTGGGGGAGGCCTATGTTCAGCAGTGGACGTCTAATAGCTGAGATGATGATGATGATGATGAAGACAGCAGCAGGCAGCGAATTCCAGTCCCTGAGTTGTTCGCATTATAAATGAGTTAGTTATATCAAAACGCTTTGTGCGAGCTGGTTGCATGTCGACAATGAGTTGTCCTGTTGTCTAACACACTTTTCATAGTTTTATAAATAAACTGTTTCATAATTAGGCGTAAGTTAATTTAGTCGGCTGCTAAAGGGAGTTCCTGTGTTTATGTGGCTAAAATTGTTTTTACGAGCGAACAGACCAACTGTATAACGTCATTGCTATAAGAGAATACGTTAGGGACGTCTGCTAGCCCTGTTTTATACTAATTTATTTTAAAATGAAAAATTACTATTACTAAGGATTAATACTTTAATTTCATTTTAATTCTATTCTATTCAATTCAAAGTTTAGTAGAGATACCAGACAAGGATCTCAAAGATCTTCTTGAATTCATATGCGATAGAATGACATTGAATACTTATTAATATTTATCGAGAATTTTGCATTAATAATGCTCAATTCTCTAACAACATTTTCCATTTGGAAAATACTGCCTCAGATAGGAATTGAACTAATGATTTTTCGCTTCATCAGACTACCTAGAGCTGAGTTGCACTCTACCTAACTTTGACCGGTATTATTTGTTTGGAGTTTGACAGATTTTTTGTTATAGTTAAATTAAGAAGCATCCATAGCCATTTTGTCTTTGTGGTTAAAGGTTACAGCCCTGTTACAATCGCAGTAAAACGCATTTAGGTCGCTACCAACTTTTCGTTCGCTAGGAAGCGTTGTGACGAAACGCATGCGTGGGCGCCGGTTGATCGTTACGATTTACTATTATCCGTTTCACATGTGGTCACAGATCTGGAAAAGATCGTTTCTTAATTATAAGATCGCCTAAATTGGGCAGCTTCAAGTTTTGTGTTTCTTGTGAATTTAACTTTTGTATTTTATTCAATACACAACATTTCTGCTCTTTTATTTTGTATCAAGAATTAGGAACGACAATTAAAAGAAAGTTGGTTAAAAGTTTAATTTAAACAAGCGCCGGTTTCTATACAAAAACGTAGGTAGTATGATGTAACGTATGCAATAATGATTAGGTATAATGTATAATGTTGAAACAGTAGAGTCACTGTGTTGAGAATGCTAATGATACACGAAGACTTTTATTTCAGTAGGAGTTTTTATTTACAATGATGCCGTGGAGAATTACTAATGTTAGTGTGATGAGCACATGTTTTCCTGACATCTAGATCAAATTATTTTTTTTTTTTTTTTTTTTTTTTTATGCATAACAAGGCAGGTATTTGACCACAATCGCACCTGATGTTAAGTGGGATGCGGTCTAGGATGGTACATATCTGCCCTGTAAGTGCCTATTCACTCTCGCCTTGAAAAGGCCCGGATTATAGTTTTCGGGAAAGACAGCAGCAGGCAACGAATTCCAGTCCCTAGCTGTACTACTTATGTATATAATTATACATAAGTATTATATTATTATTATAGCTACTTATGTAGTTAAACCTCTTATTTGTTTAATTACTCTTGTTTTAGGTTAACGACATTATTTTTTTGGTACTATTCCATGATTTCACGGTATATTAAAAATGTGCTGGCATCTCATGGTAAATGAGGCTACTGTAACTATTTACCTGTGGACGCGACCTTGTCAGGAGAGCAGAACACAAACTGGCGCCACTTCCTGCGAGTGTACTCACGACTCACGGCTCTACATTGCAAATTATGGAATTATTGTCTCATATAATATCATGATGCTAATGTGTATGTTACAGGAAATGTATGAAATCCGTCATTGTATACAATTCCTAGGATTTGTGTATAAGTCCTAAAATCACCCGGAAATGTGTGATGTAAATTATATTAGACACATTTCCTAGGAAATTTACACATTTCCTAAACAGCAATCGGATGTAATTAAGAGTTCTTTTTTTTCTCCGAAACTTAAATGGCCGCGGCGCGGTTGCCGCTCTGTATGTGTAAGGTCGCAAGTCTAACCTAACCTAACCGAGACTTTGTTATCCAGCTACAGGAGTACTAAAACCTTCATGTCAATAATAGTTTAATAAAAGAGATGTTAAAATTAGGGTTTTCCAATACTTCAGCGTAATATGCGTGATGCCGAAAGAAAGGTATGCCAATAGGCAAATATTTTTTTCAGCCGAAGTATAATAGTGCGAAAACAACTTTCAGGTTAAACAATAATAGTTGTAAGTTAAAAGTACCTATCGGCCAATGTGGTTTGGCTAAATGAAATTTTATTCGTACTGAGGGGCACCCGATCACACGACCGCGCTTGTGCCGCTTAGTTTTATACATTTCCTAATACAATATTGGAATTCTATAAAATTCCTAGGAAAAGTATACATGTCCTAGGATATGTGCGTATTAAAAAATCTGTGAAGCAATATTTCATACATTTCCTAAATAGCTTCGGAATTGTATACATTTCCTAGGAATAGTATACAATTCCTAGAATTCATACATTTCCTGTAACATGTATATTTAGTAGTATTTATTTATCTATTTTAGACTGCGCTTCTTATTTTACTTTAGGCTGAGTTGCACCACCTAACTTTGACCGTAACTTTGACGATAACCGGTGCTTTTGTTATGGAGTTTGACAGATTTTTGACGATTGTTAAAGTTAAAATAAGATGGTGCAACCCAGCCTGTGTGTGCAACTTGATTCCTGTCACTGTAAAGTATATTTCAGGAATAGGTAAGTAAGGATACAAACGTTGATGTGAAACATTGTAGAAGCTTCGTTTACAGACTTAAATATTGTGTAGCCATTGAGTTTGTGTCTCATTTATCGGTATTTAATACATAATGGAGTTTTCTTACTTCTGATATCGGGTTATTCCCAAAAGTCGACGGCTCTATTGTTTTCCAAAAATGTAAGTCGTATCATTCCTATTAATATTATAAATGCGAAAGTTTGGATGTCTGGATGGATGTTTGTTACTCTTTCACGGAAAAACTACTGAACGGATTTTGATGAAACTTTACAGTATTAAAGTAATCTTTATAACCCAGAATAACATATTAGGCTATAATTTATGAAGATCTGTGACAAATTAAATTTCACGCGGGTGAAGCCGCGGGTAAAAGCTAGTTCTAAATAAATATGTTTATGTGTCGCGAATACCTTCCCGTGTTTTTATGTGCTATAGTATAGGTAGTTTGCGGATAAAGTCTGCAGGTACGCATCCGTGACAATCAGACTGGAAACCATTTTATGGTTTTTCTAACATCTGTCTTGTTTTGTTTCAATCTATTTTAAACTTAGTTTGGGTTTAGTA